GCCTCCCAAAGTGCTGGGATTACAGGCGTGAGCCACCACGCCCAGCCTGAATAGCTAATTCTCAATAGCAGACAGATAAATAGACAACAGGTATATTTAAAAATTGCTTAAAATCACCAATCATCAGAAAAATGCAAATTAAAACCACAATGAGATATCACCTTACATATGTTAGAATGGCTATTATCAAAAAGATGAAAAGTAAGCCTCAGGATGGAGCAAAAAGGGAACCCTTGTTCATTGTTGATGGGAATGTAAATGAGGGTAGCCATTACGGAAACCAGTATGGTGGTTCTTTAGAAAATTAAAACTAGAACTACCATATATGGTCTAATAATCCCACTACTGGGTATACATCCAAAGGAACTGAAATCAGTATGTCAAAGAGATATTTGCATTCCCATATTCACTGCAGCATTATTCACAATAGCCAAAAAATGGAAGCAACCTAAGTGTCCGTAACAGATGAATAAAGCAAATGTGGTACATACAAAGACTGGAATGCTATTCAGTTGTGTTTTTCCTTTTTTTGAGACAGAGTCTCACTCTGTCACCCAGGCCAGAGTGCAGTGGTGCGATCTCAGCTCACTGCAACCTCCACCTCCTGGGTTCAGGTGATTCTCCTGTCTCAGCCTCTCAAGTAGCTGGGATTATGGGCGTGTGCCAACACACATGGCTAATTTTTGTATTTTTAGTAGAGATGGGGTTTCACCACGTTGGCCAGGCTGGTCTTGAACTCCTGACCTCAAGTGATCCATCTGCCTCAGCCTCCCAAAGGGCTGGGATTACAGGCATGAGCCACCACGCTTGGCTCATGCCTTCATTTGTAAACATGCAATTATGCAGAAACAACTCATTTAATATCTATTTCTTGTAAGAAATTTGTTGAACCTTTTCTTCTTCCCAAAGAAGAAATCTCAGCTTGTATTTATTTATAATGTTATAAAAACAGAAAGAATGACATTTAACTACTTCAAAAATCATAAAATAATTTTACTATCTTCATTAGTTATTTGAATTAATTAGTTTTGGTCTCTACAAAATTAATAAAATAAGTCCCTTGTTTTTGCTGTTTAATCACATTTCCACGTTTTTTAAAAAAATAGTACCTTTTCCCTCCCTAAATTCAAATTTAGCTTTTAGGATTAAGTCATGTATTGTCAGTACCTCTGCTCTTTAGAGAAATGTTTTTGTTTTAGATCTTTGACATTTACTTCAATAACGTAGTATTTATATACTATTTTTACCAGTTCTATGCCAAGTTCTATATAGAAGATCTTGTATAGCCCTTGGTAGGGAAATGGTACAATCAGGTATAAGTTTAATGATATTCAAAGAAGTGCAAGGTTACTCAATAGAATGTTTTCCTTATTTTATCAATTATGTGACTCGAGATTCACTGAGCTAAGAGAGCTGCTACACTGGACTTTGCCATGTCAACTTGCAAGGCAACACTGCTAGTTTTTCTCTCTCTACCTGGTTTTGCTATATAAATAGAAGGGCTTTTTCAGAAGCACTAGTACTCCTCACCCATGCACCACAGGCAGTTAGGACATAGGGAGACTGTAAGAAAAATGAAGAAGGAAAAACTCAGTTGATAGAGGAATATTATCAATTATTTCTAAACTAAATTATTACTGGGCTTGGATTAAGTTTATTCTACAGACAGTGCAGTGAGGAAAATAAGGCAGAACTACACTGTCAGAGCAGACATGCTAAGAGACGGTGATCAATTCCACTATAAACTGTGTCTTTTTGTATTGTGCAGTCCTACAAGATGGTGTTCTTCTGTTTCTCCTCTTGATCACAGCCTTGCCTAATATTCTTAAACTACTTTTTCTAAAACATAACCATTATCTTAAAATATAAGTAATATAAACTGTTTGGCATTATTATATTCAACTTCTAAAAAGGGTCACAAATACACTTTCTTGAAGAAGGTTAAACTGATCCTAGTTGCTTCCTTAACAAACTTTTTGAGCCATGGGAGTTATTACAGTACTTTAGTTCTTACCAGTTGGGCTTTACCTTCTACCCTCAATAAGCTTTTTTGTTATAACAATCTCAGCTCTAGTGACAGACAGAAATAGTTAATACAGAGCAGGTAACTTTTAACAGATTGTATACACATGACGATTTAAAATCATCAGTATTTTTTTTTTACTAAAATTGTTACAATTGCTTACCTGGTACAATAATGTCTCCAAAACCCAATATTGAAACAGGCATGAGGCACACACTCATTACTGAGAAATAGATCAGTTTTGGTACTCTGATGACTACTGGCAACTGTTCAAAAACAAAACAAAATAAAACAAAACAAAACAAAAAAGAGGCCACCAATGAACTTCTTGGCAATCTTTACCCATATCTTTTATTTATTTATTTATTTTTTGGAGACAGAGTCTTGCTCTGTTGCCCAGGTGGAGTGCAGTGGCACGATCTCAGTTCACTGCAACTGCAACTGCAACTGCAACCTCCGCCTCCTGGGTTCAAGTGATTTTCCTGCCTCAGCCTCCCAAGTAGCTGGGATTACAGGTATGAGCCACCATGCCCGGCTACTTTTTCTGTTTTTAGTAGAGACAGTGTTTCACCATGTTGGCCAGGTTGGTCTCAAACTCCTGACCTCAGGTGATCCACCTGCCTCAGTCTCCTAAAGTGCTGGGATTACAGGCATAAGCCACCGTGCCTGGCCACCCATATCTTCTAGAAAGGGAATGATTAACATTAGAATAGTTCTTTTGATAGTTTAAAGGAACATGAAATACTCTGTTTCTATCTATTTCCGAAAGAAATAGATTAGTTTTGAAAAAATGAAGCTCAACACACACGTAGGATTAACAGTATTAATCAACTATCCCCACATTTAACCTTTTTTTTCACTCTTTACCAAGAATAGAACTCAGGCCTTGAAACACAGAAAATAGAACAAGCCTTATTTTTTTTTGGCTATCTGGATTTTTTTCCCCCAAAGAAGACTCTTGCCTCAGAGGGTATGATTTAAAGTCCAATGAACATATCTGAAATACAATCCTTACTTTCTCATGGGGAGCTGAGGGTTGACCAGTGGCTTCCACCAAGTTTCCATCATTCTAGGATGAAACCCAAGTCAATAGGTATTTAATAATTTAGAATAACTAAGAAAAGAGCTATATTTTCTGAGAAATAAGTTTTACAATACCTTAACATGCACTACGTGACCAATGAATTACACAGGAAAGCAAATTATTAACTGGATACACATACATACACTGGACAGCCATTTCTATTTCATTGCCATCCCTACCTTTTCATTATTTCCAAAAGGTCCAGCTGCAAGTTCAACCATGATACTCTCACCATTCTAAAATTGAGAAGGAAGAGAAAAGAAGTTGTCTAATCATTTAAAGAAAACAATCTGCCACTATTCAAGTGTGATTTAAGCCCCATGGCATATGGCCAGTTACACTGAAAATGGGCTACAGACTGCTGTTTTCCTAAAAGTCTTTGTAGATAGCAAAAACTGAAGTCATCTAAAACAAAGTCCACCTAGTACAGTTGCTCCACTTTACCAGAGGTCAACAATTCTCAGACATTGGCAAATGAATCACGTAAAAATAATTCAAGTGAACCCTCAGTTCTGATTTGTAATGACATATTAATATCTGACATTTGTAATGGGTTATAAATTTTAGATACAGTACTTTTAGTTACATTATGCCATATACTGTATGTTCTTAGTAGTTTTCAGCAATGTCAGTGAAGAAGGTCATACTAAAATCTTTTACACTTAGTTTGTAAAAAATATTGGTAACTTTATTTGAATAAATATACATCTGACCTTCTGGCTACTCACCACAATAACAAAACAATGAAACCAAATTTGAAAAGACCCAACCCTATAGAACCTGAGAAGCTTCTCTAGCCTAACTCTCATCCAATTTCAGCCCTGCCTGCTTTCTATGATCCAGTCAAAACATTAACCTTAGCTAAATTTCCCTCCCTTGTGCCTGGATAAAGTCTTTTTATGTGGGTTGTGTGAGGGGTTCATTTAAAAACTTTTTCCTGATAGCCAAGTCTGTTGTGGAGAGGGAAAACATTGTGAGGTAGCAAGTTAAGATTGCATGAACCACTCATTTTGTTTCATATTATGATAAATATATCAGCAAAGCAGGTACAGGGAAGAGAAACAAACGCTGAATTTCAGGAAAATTTGATTGACTAACTATAATATTTTCCATGTGGGTGGGGTGCACAGGAGAAAAACCACTTGAGTGTTTTTAAAAGGACCTCATTGATTCCTGAGCTGAGTAGAAAGGAGGATAAAACCCCTAGCTGCAGAAATCTTTTGCTCATGTTAAGCTTTGGGTTACAGAAGGGTTAAGTCAAAGCAGTTTAGGAAAATAAACTAACACTAAGTACAGTTCCTTAAAGCAGATTCCTAGGTTGTGATAACATTTCCAGATAAAGAGTTCATTTTGGTTCACTTTCTAATTGTTATGTAAAACATTTAACTGAAGACCATCATTGATATCCTCCCATACATTTAAAGATACCTGAATAACTACTATTTGTAAGACACAATACTGAGCACAGTGGTGGATGGAGAAAAATGAGTAAGACAGGCTCTTATTGCTGTACTTTTATGGCGACCTGCCTTGCCAACTCACTAGAAGGCCACTAACACTTGGGTCAAGAACATGTTTAGAATATGCAATAGTTAACCCTTCAAATTTACAGTGAAAACCAGGAAAATCAGCAATCTGATTTTTGAGTTACCTACTAAAGTAAGGTCTGCTTCCTTAATAAAAACAAACAAATCAGACTGAGAATAAGGTATTAAAGTAAATCTATAGCAGTGAACTCCAAAGAGCGAGCACTGAGTTTTTTCCACCATATTAGGTTGCTAGAAATCACGTTCCTAGTCAGTAGAAACTAAGAGAGAAATAGGAAGATGAAAAATTTTTTTTTTTTTTTTTGAGACGGAGTCTCACTCTGTCGCCCAGGCTGGAGTGCAGTGGCATGATCTCAGCTCACTGCAAGCTCCGCCTCCCGGGTTCACACCATTCACCTGCCTCAGCCTCCCAAGTAGCTGGGACTACAGGTGTCTGCCACCATGCCTGGCAAATTTTTTGTATTTTTGTTTGAGACAGAGTCTCCCTCTGTCGCCCAGGCTGGAATGCAGTGGCATGATCTCGGCTCACTGCAAGCTCTGCCTCCTGAGTTCACACCATTCTCCTGCCTCAGCCTCCCAAGTAGCTGGCACTATAGGTGCCTGCCACCACACCCAGCTAATTTTTTTTGCATTTTTTTAGTAGAGATGGGGTTTCACCGTATTAGCCAGGATGGTCTTGATCTCCTGACCTCGTGATTCGCCCACCTCAGCTTCCCAAAGTGCTGGGATTACGGGCATGAGCCACTGCGCCTGGCTAACAATTTTATTTTTTGAAACGGAGTCTCACTCTGTTGCCCAGGCTGGAGTGCACTGGCACAATCTAGGCTCACTATAACCTCCACCTCCTGGCTTCAAGTGATCCTCCCACCTCGGTCTCCTGAGTAGCTGGGACTACAGGCGTGCACTACTACATCTGGCTAATTATTTTATTTTATTTTATTTATTTATTTATTTTTTGAGACAGAGTCTCCCTCTGTCGCCCAGGCTGGAGTGCAGTGGTGCAATCTCAGCTTATTGCAACCTCTGCCTCCTGGATTCAAGTGATTCTCCTGCCTCAGCCCCACAAGTAGCTGGGATTACAGGCACCCACCACTGTGCCTGGCATTTTTGTATTCTTAGTAGAGACAGGGTTTCGCTATGTTGGCTAGGCTGGTCTCAAACTCCTGACCTCAAGTGATCCACCCGCCTTGGCCTCTCAAAGTGCTGGGATTACAGGCGTGAGCCACCTCGCCCTGCCTCTGGCCTCTTAATTATTGCTATTTTTAGTAGAGATACAGGTTCACCATGTTGGCCAGGCTGGTCTCGAACTCCTGACCTCAAGTGATCTGCCTGCCTTGGCCTCCCAAAGTGTTGGGATTATAGGCATTAGCCACCGCACATGGCCAAATAGTAAGTTTAGTTATAACCCATACTAGTTCTATGAATTTTTTTTAGATTACTATTGTTTGGTGAAGTCAATGAATCAAATGGCTCATAATTAAGTGACAGAAAGGTGCTAGTAAAATGGTTTGGTTATGCCAGGCATAACCAAAATGGTTCATCCCTGTAAATCCCAGCACTTTGGGAGGCTGAGACAGGAAGATCTCCTGAACCCAAGAGTTTGAGACCAGCCTGGACAATATGGTAAAACCCCATCTCTACAAAAAATACAAAAATTGGCTGGGTGTAATGGTATGTCCCTGTAGTACCAGCTATTTGGGAAGCTGAGGTGGGAGGATCACCTGGGCATCAGGATGTTAAGGCTGCAGTAACTCGTAATTGAGCCACTGCACTCCAGCTTGGGCGGCAGACCAAGACCCTGTCTCAAAGAAGAGAGAAAAAAAAAAGTTTGGATGGTTAGCTGTATTTTGGGGCAGTTAACTATATTTGTTACCTATTATAATTTTAGCTTCCCAATAGGGTCAGTTTATCTTTATGTTATTATAGCAAATACCAGAAGTGTAGATTTTTACAGTGATTTCACAGATGGTAGGTTTAATGAATGGGTAAAGAAGGAATGAGGCCACACGCTATGGCTCATGCCTGTAATCCCAATACTCTGGGAGGCCAAGGTGTGAGGACTCCTGGGCTTGAGCCCAGGAGTTTGAGGCTGCAGTGAACTAGGATTGTGCCATTGCACTTCAGTCTCAAGACTCGGCCTTAAAAAAAAAAAAAAAAAAAAAAAAGAAGGAATGAGAAGTAGAGAATATCAAATACTTAAATATGTGAGAGTGACAAAGGATAAATGGATAATATGAAGTTACAAAGCAAGACTCAAAATGGGAGAAAGTTGGGGAATTAAGCAATAATTAATATATTCATGAGACAGGAAAAGGACCAAAGTAGAAAAGCTGGACAAATAATTAAGGACCACCATACTAACCCAACACCTCTCCTCATTTTACTGAAGAGCTAGTGGCAGAGCTGGGAATATATGACCTAGCAGCTGCAGTTGCTCTGATTCTAACTTCTTGGAAAAAGCCAGTCTGAGAGAATGAACAAATGGACAGAAGCAAAAAGGGAGAGTATGTGGCCCTGGGTCTAGTTTCTCTTGACGCCAGCCCCACACTGGCCTACAAACACAGCCTAGATAAATGGGGCCTTTTTGGTACAGAAGGCTTAGGTTGGGTTCTGTAAGTTGGAACCAAAAGAATTCCACTGATGGGGATGGAAAGATGAATAGCCAGCAATACTCCCTCATATAACGGGTTAGTAAATGCAAGCAGAAAGGGCTAACTTGCCTATGGTTGCAAGGTTACAGAGTTACATTCTAGGCCTTCCGATTTCCAGTGTGCCGCTCTTTCTTAGTCTCAAACTAGTGCTTCAGAAACGATATTTTATTTTTTTTACTGTCTATATTGCCTACAGTAAATATTTAGCTCATAAAAATAATTACTTTGAAAAGGGAAGAAAATTACAGATATTCTCATATTTGTATCAGTCAAGAGACATTTTAAAATCTAACAAAATGGATTAAAGCCTTGAAAGTTAAAAGGCCAATATCAATGACAATTCTTTTAAGAGAATTAGAATTCACTCAGTGGTAAACATCTACAAAATTAATAATCTAGGAGCAGATTTAAGATCATCATTTTTTAGCATGTTTCTTCACGCATTTAAAAAATGGTCATACCTTTGTGATGAATGGTGTTATGAAAACAAAAAATACATCATAGAGGAGGAGAAGGCCTAGAAGTATCACACATGACTGTTGAAGAAAGAAACAAAATTAAAGGTCAATCTTCCTAAATAGAAATTAAGGCATTAAATTATTTTTCAAGTCCAAATAAAGATATGAATATACATTTAAATATTATTTTTAAAAAGATATCTTATAGTTAATACTATGTATAGTTTTATTATTCTACGTATTAAAACGCTTATCTTCTTTATCTTGTTTTTTAAAAAAATCACCGAACCAAAGAGATGTGCTGGGTTGGGCATGGTGGCTCACGCCTGTAATCCCAGCACTTTGGGAGGCTGAGGCGGGGCAGATCACGAGGTCAAGAGTTCGAGACCAGCCTGGCCAACATGGTGAAATCCCATCTCTGCTAAGAATACAAAAATTAGCCAGGCGTGGTGGCGCGTGCCTATAACCCCAGCTACTCAGGAGGCTGAGGCAGAAGAATCACTTGAACCTGGGAGGCAGAGGTTGCAGTGAGCTGAGATCGTGCCACTGCACTCCAGCCTAGGTGACAGAGTGAGACTATCTTGGGGGAGGAAAAAAAAAAAGAAAGAAAAAAAAAAGAAATGTGCTTCTCTGATATTTAGTCGTGTTAAAGATTTTATGAATTTGGCATATTACATGAATGATTAAAAATATTTTAAGCAGGCTGGGCACAGTGGCTCACGCCTGTAATCCCAGCACTTTGGGAGGCCCAGGTGGGCAGATCATTTGAGGTCAGGAGTTCAAAACCAGCCTGGCCAACATGGTGAAACCCTGTCTCTACTAAAAATATAAAAATCAGCAGGGCTTGGTGGTGGGCGCCTGTAACCCCAGCTACTTGGGAGGCTGAGGCAGGAGAATCGCTTGAGCTCAGGAGGCAGAGGCTGCAGTGAGCCAAGATTGCAACACTGCACTCCAGCCTGGGAGACTGAGCGAGACTCTATCTCAAAAACAAACAAACAAACAAATAAATAAATAAAAATATTTTAGGCAAGGTGCAGCGGCTCATGCCTGTAATCCCAGAACTTTGGGAGGCCAAGTCAGGAGGACTGCTTGCGGACAGCAGTTTGAGAACAGCTTGGGTAGCATAGCAAGACCCCCATCTCTACAAAAACAAACAAACAAAATTTAGCTAAAATAAAGTATACACATGGATAAGAGTGAGGAATAACAGGCACTGGATACTCAGCATGGTGGAAGGGTTAGAAGGGGTGAGGGAGAGAAATTACTTAATGGGGACAATGCACATTAGTTGAGTGATCGTTATACTATAAGCCCACATTTCATCACTACCCAATATATCCATGTAACAAAACTACACTCGAACCCCTTAAATTTATACAAATAAAAGAAACAAAAGAAAAAACAACAACAACAACAATAGTTTAGCTAGCAAATCAGTGGTTGACTGGGCCTGGGGATTAGGACTGATTGCAAAGGCCACGGTAGAGATTTTGGAAGAGATGAGAAATGTTCTACAACTTCACTGGCATAGTGGTTACAAAGTTACACATTTGTAAAATTTCCATAAACAGTACACCAAAAATTGGTGCATTTAATTGTGGGTAAATTATGCCTTAATAAAGTTGTGTTTTAAAAATTCATTTTAACTAGCAAAGTAGTATTGTATACATTACCTTGAAGTTGGGCAACTTCAGTGTTTTAATTAAATTCAGACAGAAAGCAATCCCCAAGATATCCTGTAAAATCCAAGCCCACCTAAAATCAAAAGATATTACTCTATTGCTTTATTAATGTTTAGATGAAGCTTTTCAAAAGACATAGATCACTGAGGTAATATCATTTAATTGCTACGATTTGACTATTCCTTTTTTTTTTTTTTTTTTTGAGACAGAGTCTCACGCTGTCACCCAGGCTGGAGTGCAGTGGCGTGATACTGGCTCACTGCAACCTTTGCCTCCTGGGTCCAAGCGATTTTCGTGTCTCAGTTTCCCAAGTAGCTGGGACTACAGGCATGCATGCCACCATGCCTGGCTGATTTCTGACTATTCAATTATTAAACAGCAAGCATAACAACAAAACACCTCATATATTCCATATTTGGTAATTTTACTGTCCCAGTAGAATAATGAATATTATTATACTAAGAAAAAGTTGAAAAGGCTACCTCAGAAGAACATATATCAGACATAAGTGCATTAACACATGTCTCGTTCTAGAAAACAGCTGTTAACAAAAGAATTTCAGTGTTAACACAGATCCAAATAGCTTGAACATAAAGAAAACAAGTTATGCAACTTACTCCATCAGAAATTGACATGAGTAATTATCCATTAATTATCCTACCTGAAGCTGTATAAAGCTGTATGAGCTTTGTTTCCCAAATTTTAGGCCATTAAATCCTTTCAGTCCTCAATAATTTTATTAATAAAACATTAATATAAACTTAAGTATATATTTTCTTCTGGTTATCTTCCTGCAAATGAACAGATATCTGTATATTTTCTTATATCCCCCTCTTTCTTGCATAAAAGACAGCATACTCTATATATTTTTTTGCACTTCACTTTTTTTCACTTAAAGAAATACAAATATCAAATCAAAGTGGATTAAAGACTTACATCTAAGACCTGAAACTGTGAAACTACTTGATGAAAACACTGGGGAAATGTTCCAGGACATTGGTCTTGGCAAAGATTTCTTGAGTAAGACTTCAAAAGCGCAGACCACAAAAACAAAAATGGACAAATGGAATCACATCAAGCTAAAAGGTTTTGCATGGCAAAGGAAAAATCAAGAAAGTGAAGAGACAACCCACAGAATGAAAGAAAATATCTGCAAACTACCCATCTGACAAGCTATTAATAACCAGAATACATAAGGAGCTCAAACAACTCGATAGAAAAAAAACCAAATCATCCAATTAAAAATAGGACAAAATATCTGAATAGACATTTCTCCAAAGACATACAAATGACCAACAGATATATGAAAAAATGCTCAGCATCTCCAATCAGATGAAATCTGACTGCAATTAGAGAAATGTAAATCAAAACTACGAGATATCATCTCACCCCAGAATGCTGGCAAGGATGTGGGAAAAGGGGAAACCTCGTACACTGTTGGTGGGAATGTAAATTACCACAGCCACTATGAAGAACAGTATGGAAATTCCTCAGAAAACTAAAAACAGAACTACCATATGATCCAGCAATTCCACCACTGGATATACATGCAAACACTGGATATACATGCAAAAGAAAGGAACTCAGTATTAAAGAGATATCTGAACTCTCACATTTATTGTAGCACTATTCACAATAGCCAGGATATGGAATCAACCTGTGTCCATCAATGGATGGAGGAAATATTATACATATATATATATATATAAAAAATTATACAAATACACACAATGGAATATTCAGCCACAAAAAATAATGAAGTCTTGTCATTTGTAAAGACATGGATGGAAGTGGAAGACATCATGTTAAGTGAAATAAGCCAAGCACAGAAAGACAAATATTGCATGTTCTCACTCATAGTGAGAGCTAAAATTAAGAAAATAAAAAATTGAACTCATGGAGATAGTAGAATGATGGTTACCAGAGGCTAAAAAAAGGTAGACAGTGGGGGTGATAAAGTGAAGATAGTTAATGGGTGCAAAAATATAGTTAAATAAAATAAATAAGATTTTGGTAGCACAATTAGGTGATACAGTTAATAACTTCTTGTATATTGTAAAAATAACTAAAAGAGTGAAATTGGAATGTTCCCAATCAAAGAAATGATAAAGGCTTGAGGTGATGGATCCCACAATGACTCTGATGTGATCATTACACATTGTATGCCTGTATCAAAACATCACATGTAGCCCATAAATATATATAGTTTGGGCTCCTTTTTGTACTTTATATATCATAGAGTATATTCTCTCTCTCTTTTTTTTTTTTTGAGACAGAGTTGCACTCTTGTTCCCCAGGCTGGAATGCAATAGCATGATCTCGGCTCGCTGCAACCTCTGCCTCTCGGGTTCAAGTGATTCTCTTGTCTCAGCCTCCTGAATAGCTGGGATTACAGGCACACACCACCACACCCAGCTAATTCTGTATTTTTAGTAGAGACGGGGTTTCTCCGTGTTGGTCAGGCTAGTCTCGAACTTCTGACCACAAGTGATCTGCCCACCTCGCCCTCCCAAAGTGCTGGGATTACAGGCATGAGCCACCATGCCCGGCAAGTATGTTCTCTTTTGTATCTAGTTTCACTTAGCATTACGTTTGAGATTCATTCATGCTTGTGCATGTAGTATAAGGCTTACTTATTGGTGAAGAGTATTCCATTGTGTAAATATAACATAATGTATTCACCCATTCAAAGTTTGATGGACATTTTGATTGTTTCTACACTCTCTCTCTCTGTCTCTTTCTCTCTCTCCTGGAACTCCCTGCATATCAATTCATAGAGATCTTCATTGTTTAGAGCTGCATTGCACTCTATTGTGTGGCTATACCAAAACTAAGTGTGTGTGTGTATATATATATAAAAATATACACACATACATATATATACACACACTTATATATATACATACACACACATACACACACACATATTTTTTTGAGATAGAGTTTCACTCTTGTTGCCCAGGCTGGAGTGCAATGGTGTGATCTTGGCTCACTGCAACTTCTGCTCACTGCAACCTCTGCCTCCCGGGTTCTAGCAATTCTCCTGCCTCAGCCTCCCAAGTAGCTGGGATTACAGGTGTGTGCCACCACGCCTGGCTAATTTTTTGTATTTTTAGTAGAGACGGGGTTTCTCCATTTTGGTCTGGCTGGTCTCGAACTCCGGACCTCAGGTGATCTGCCTGCCTTGGCCTCCCCAAGTGCTGGGATTACAGGCATGAAATTAAGTATATTTTTAAAGTCTATTTCAGTGTATGTGTTGAAATAATAATTCATATTTCCTTCTCTATATGAGTTCAAATGCATGAACATAAGATCTGCTTATTTAAGAAGTAGTTCATTACAAGACTGGTGTTCTGGCATAGAAGCAAAAAAGTTCCGTAATAATCACAATAAGTATCAGGCCAACATAGGAAACAATTCATCCTTAATCTAAAAGCAAATACATTGAGTATTCATACCTGTCTTCATTTCGAAACACAGCCCAAACAACAGCTACTGCTATGCACAGTCCAGAGAGAAAAATAAGTCTCACTTCCATGCTTTTGCCACGACATGCAATCCTAAAAAACGGATTGAAATAGTTAACACTGCAGATGAAGTACAAAGTTCACTTGATATAAGAAGTAGCAAATGTTAACCACAGTCATAATAAGTGACTGAAATACCAATTTTATTTTTTTTATTTTTTAATTTTTTAATTTTTTTATTTTTTTTGAGACGGAGTCTCGCTCTGTCGCCCAGGCTGGAGTGCAGTGGCCAGATCTCAGCTCACTGCAAGCTCCGCCTCCCAGGTTTATGCTATTCTCCTGCCTCAGCCTCCCGAGTAGCTGGGAACTACAGGCGCCCGCCACCTCGCCCGGCTAATTTTTTGTATTTTTTTAGTAGAGACGGGGTTTCACCATGTTCGCTAGGATGGTCTGGATCTTCTGACCTCGTGATCCGCCCGTCTCGGCCTCCCAAAGTGCTGGGATTACAGGCTTGAGCCACCACGCCCGGCTGAAATACCAATTTTAAAAGTCTTGATTTTACATAAAACAAATGAGACATAATAAAATGTTTATCAGTCCAATATAATTTTCTGTGATGATGAAAATGTACTATACCTGTGCTGTCCAATATAGTAGCTACTAGTCACATGTGGCTATTGAGCACTTGAAATGTGGCTAGTAAGAATGAAAAACTCAATTTTTAATTTTATTTAATTTTATTTAAATTTAAATGTAAACACCTATAGGTCCAATGTATATCAAACTATATAGGTTTCAAATAATACTCCTATTTTGTATTGTTTTAAACTATAAACACCAAAATTATAAGATGTCCTGTGAGAGATACATACGTGCATTGTCCGCATGGTGTCTTATGAATCAGTGCCGCAAGACAGTTGTACAGACTCATTGCTGATGCTATGCAGAAAATTGCTATCATAACATAAACTAGAAAAAACAAAACACTAAATTACATGAGAACAGAAGGAAAGGTGATAAGAAAATATTTATACAAGCAATATTAATTCTTTAGTTTTCTTTATTGAATCATACTTCCAACGAAGTGACTATATGATGACCTGATTTACTTACTAAGCTGAAATTTAGATCGTGAGGTTTTTGTTTTGTTTTGTTTTGTTATCTGAGAGTCTTGCTCTGTCGCCCAGTTGCCCAGGTCGGAGTGCAGTGGTGTGATCTCTGCTCTCACTGCAATCTTTGCCTCCTGGGCTCAAGTGTTTCTTGTGCCTCAGCCTCCCGAATAGCTGGGATTACAGGTATGCACCACCATACTCAGCCAATTTTTATAGTTTTAGTAGAGACGGGGTTTTGCCATGTTGGTGAGGCTGGTCTCAAAGTCCCGACCTCAGGTGATGTGCCTGCCTCGGCCTCCCAAAATGCTGGGATTATAGCCGTGAGCCACTGCACCCAGCCGTCTTCTTTTTAAATAGCAATGAATTTAAGGAAATCTCTCACCAAAAACTAAAATATGCTTTCAGGTAAAGTAGAGGGCTCACTTTTTTCTATCAACGACTACTATAAACTGAGAGTTGATAACATAAATTAATCTGAAGGAGTATTAAATTAATAAAAGCACTTGTTTGATGCCAACATAATACAAATATCATCCTAGTACTCGCTCTCTCAGCAACAGGTTAAAATGAGTGATATTAACAAAATGAGTTCTTTTTTTTTGAGACGGGGTCTCACTGTGTTGCCCAGGCTGGAGTGCAATGGAGCAATCTTGGCTCACAGCAACCTTCGCCTCCCAGGGTCAAGCAATTCTCCTGCCTCAGCCTCCTGGGTAACTGGGATTACAGGCATGCGCCACCATACCCGGCATTTTTTGTATTTTTAGTAGAGACGGGGTTTCTCC